GAACGGCTTTAAGGTTGATTGACAACCCTGAAAAGGGGGAAAGACAGCGCACAACCCTAAACCGGGGGAGAGATCATCAAAGCTGAGAATGTAAGAGAGGAATACCAATGAAGTAAAGTCGCGGCCAGTTTTTTAAAAAGTAATGTGGGGCGAAACGAAAGATGCACTATTAATATAAAGTAGGTAGGACCACCCACTGTTGAACTAGCAGTGTAATAAATTACAGTAACTCTTCATTCCAGTCTGGAATCACCAATTCTCACTCAGTACGTCAGACATCTATTGCCAACCCCAGAGAAGCGACTAGTATACAATTCTGGCAGATATCTAGGAGTTCACACCCCCCGACCTCTGTGGTAATATAAGGGGGCCGGGACGCATGGTAATGGGATCCATCAAATTTCAGAGGAGCGCATCCAAGGTGAGAAGGAGCACCAAAAATGCCTCGATGAGAAGACCTGGAGGAGTGACGAAGGGGAAACGGGGATTGTGCGTTCATCGCGCTTAATTCGAGCCAGGAAACAGGGGGCTTGGGAGGAGCCGGGAAACAAGGGAATCCGGCAGAAGCTGCAGAACTCTCGGAAATTCACAGAACCGATTTGTAGAGTACCTTGCCTTCTCGGGGTAAAGGTGACTGAGGTGTAGGAGGGTTAGCTCCACGTAGGCTTTCAGATCGGGCAAGTGTCTAGTAAAGTACTTCTGCGCCGATACATATCGGATTATATAGCCCCCTGATTCACTCTTTATTGATGGCATAATCCCAATAGCAGGATATGGGGGGAATGTGCGGTATTGATCATGGGATGTATGGGTGAGCATAGTTGTATGTGTTAGGCCCTTGAGCCCTTGTTGTTGGTGTGACTGCCTTGTGTGTTTTTAGGGGAACCAGCACTGCTAGTGCAGACTTCCTCTCTTTGCTGTATTTAGTCTTCTTTCAGAGCTTCTGTAGGAAGACAAGAACGACTCCTCTCTCCTCACCTTCAGTCTTCGTCCACACCATGATTTCCTCTCCTCTCCGCTGTGCCAGGTTCCGCCATCGTTTATGCCGATAGACCTTCCAGTAACTCTAATGGCGCGGTGCAGTGAAAATAACGGCTCCAACCTTGACCCGTCGATGAAGTACAGTATGAATGCCAACAACAACAGTCGCTCACACCGGACCACATCGCGTCATTGCCCCATCACCATATCCATTTGAAATTACACGTCCATGGTTCACCGCATATCCCATCACCACCTCACCTCCCTTTTAGTAGGGGACAAGCAAACCCCACTGAACCTGGAGTGCACAAGGCGGCGTCTTAACGAAAATCTCCGCCCCCTTCACCTGATTCCCGGGTTTCAAAGGTGGGATTTCTTAGTTCGTAGCGCTGTCAAATTCCTAATATATCCCGAGGTAATGAGGTGTTGTTCTCACGAGGGTTTAGAGAATCTCCCGAGCCTATTAATAGGCTTTTCCGACTCGAGGATGGTCCTTCTGCTTCCTGGATAGATAGGTTAGGCGCTCGGCCCACTCCTAACCAGGTACCTTGTTACTGGCATCTACAGTTCGTCTATGTAGCCTTTGACACGTTAATGTTTTCCCCAGGGTTCAAACGCTGGAGTGAGTTTGAAGGTAGTGAGATGTATGCTAGGATGGCAGTGGTCCAAGGTTTTTTCATTTCCCTCTTTTGGGCCGCGAGAAGTGGCTTCTGCTTCATCATATCTTCTCTCAAGTAACAACATAGACGGGTTGTGAGAAGTTGATGGGGTGTGATTATGATCTAGCCCAAGAACCTTCTGGAACCTGTCTACTACGTGTCAACTCACCGGCTCTGGCCCATCGTGCTTCCCTTGGTATTCCCATGTCTCTCAGGGTATTTTTGATTATGCAAGAAGGCACACAAAATCACTCTGTATTCACCCCGTGCCAGTATAGCGCTTAGATAGGAGAGAAACAATTGGAACGCAAATGCGATAAGATGAAAATGTCAAAACGGTTCCTCCACTCACACAAGCACCCCTTGCTCCTAGAAAATAGCATTTGAACAGCTTCCACTCTTTGTCACTAATTCGTAATTCTCGGCAATTCCCCATAGTCAGCTATTATTCCCAACAGATCTCCACATAAATAGTCCCGCCAAATTAGGCCCCTTCGCTATAACCTAATTGGGGGTCTCTCCCGGGAATCTCGATTCGTCGTCACCGATCTATCGGAGTTTCCTTATGGCTGCTGTAAGACGGCTAGGTTACGGGCACTTTCTATTGTGTACCGGTGGTGTGGTCCTAGAACCCTTTTATACCCCTCCAAGACGCGGCGGTTCATTTGCTCCGATTCATGACGCCTTCCTTGGTAACGTAGGGTTATAGCCAGGTTGCTGACAGTTGTTAGGGTGTCGGGGTGGTTTGGTCCAAGTATCTTCTCTCGCCCCTCAAGTGCCCGCCGATTTAGCGTCTCTGATTCATCGTACTTTCCTTGGCCTCCGAGCACCTGGGCAAGGTTGTTGACACTTGTTAGGGTGTCGGGGTGATTTGGTCCAAGAATCTTCTCTCGCGCTTCAAGTGCCCGCCGATTCATCATCTGTGATTCATCGTAATTTCCTTTGTCTTGCAGCACGAGTGCAAGGGTGTAGACACTTGTTAGAGTTTCGGGGTGGTCTTGCCCAAGAATCTTTAGTCGCCCCTCAAGTGCCCGCCGATTCATCGCCTCTGATTCATCATACTTTCCTTGGTCACGGAGAACACGGGCAAGATTATTGACGCTTGTTAGAGTTTCGGGGTGGTCTGCTCCAAAAATCTTTAACCGCCCTTCAAGTGCACGCCGATTCATCGTCTCTGATTTA